TTGTAGTCCAACAGGCCAACATTAATAACTATTTTATTTGGTTAAGAATTCATTTTTTCAAAATTTCACATTTCACCGCTATTTTAAAGAGAGTGTCTTGCAACGTAGCCCGACCGTGTCTGGTGCTACGCTGGCCCCAATTTTGTTGATCATCAGACTAAATGAAACTACAGTGAATCAGGAGGGAAAACATTGCAGAGGCATTAGAAGGGAGGTTTCTTTTAAGAGCACAGAGGGGAAGCTTTGCTTCAGTGTGTCCTTTGGGACATTGTTTTACGGTCACTTTACATAGAAGACACTGTAACATAGAAATTGAATAAAAAAGTAACAAAATAATCAAATTTGCTCTATTCATATTATGTGACATTAGATAACACGTGATAAGACTGCGGTTTAGAGATTGAATGTGTAATTCTTATTCAAAATCAATGAGTTATTTGTGTAATACTGTTTTTGATTGTAGTTACATCTCATTCTTAGTTTTTGACTTGTGCTCTCATGTGTGTGTCTAGAACTAGAAAAGCTCAAATTTCCATCACCATTGCCAGAGAATGGTGCTGTTGACCATAACATTCCTTAAAAGCTTGTTAGGTAAAAGCAGGAAAATGGTTTTACTTTTAATAGCAAGCGCTCATTAGCTCCCTGACGCAAAATTATGATGATTGTTTCTTAATTGCGCGATAAAAGGTTTGGACTTCACTCTGCTGCCGCTCACTGATCACAGAGCGAGGACAGGGGCCCCACGTTGCTGATGACAAAGGCATGACTGTTCTCTTGTGTTGTGTCTCTGTAAACGTTTGGTGAGGTCCAGGACAAAGGCTGGATTGGTGGTAATGACTGGATTGTGATGTTTGTTTAGGTTTGAATTTACTTGTACTGTTTGCTGTTTTTTTTTTTTTTAGAATGGAAGTGATTATTTATTTGAACTAAAAGAACATTTGATTCTGTATATTTCAGTCACATTTTTATTGAGGATAAAGAAACCATTTGCTAACCAGTTACTGTAGTAACAAATGTAACAAAAAAAACTCAAGTCTCGGCCATGTGTTGTGTGATTTACTTACAGAGTTGAACAAGAACCTAATTCTGTTATTCGGTGTTTTATCCAAGTATCAGCGGCTATCAACAAGTAGCTTTTACTGTAGCTACATCAATCACAGACTTTGTTATGTAGTTGAACTAATTAAAATGAAAAATGGCAACCAGAACCTGTCAATCAAATCAATTTTTTCTGAGCTATTCTCCTACTGGTTGGATGTCTTGCTTGTCACAGCAAAAAGACCACCCAAGGGGAAAAATAATTACAGTATTGTTCAATGCATTGTGTAGTAAAGAGCAGAATACTTCATTTGAACTCATAGTTGAAAGTACTGTTTTTATTAATATTATCCACTTCTTTCTTCTGTTTCCTTGTTTTCCACTTATATGTTAACTTAAACTCATGTCTATGCTAAGTCTGCTAAGCCTGTTAGCAGAATCCAACCAACTACCAAACCCAGTGATTTCATGTTCTGCAATTCAACTTTAACTATAACTTATCTGTTATTAACCTCTGTCTCTCTTCCACAGCATGTCTTTATCCTGTCTTCCTTCTCTCACCCCAACCAATCACAGCAGATGGCCCCGCCCCTCCCT